GACTTGGAGAGGTTGGACAGAAGGAAAAACCTCACCTCAGAATCAGTAGTACAGGGAGACAGAAGAGGACCAAGAGTGACAGAAACTTGACACGTGTCACTGTAATCTAAAATAGTGGTATAGATGGCATGATAGGTCTATATGAGAGAGTTCCACACCTAGAATAGCCAAACAATATCTACTCAGGCTCCCTGGATTCTACAGCACTGTATGCCTCCCCCATGGCCCTCCACAGGTAATTCCCTACAGGTCAAGAACACAGTATGAAATATGGGAAATTTCCTCATCCATTACATGCCCTTGATTTTGTCATGGTCCAGATTTCTGACTGGAAGCAGGGAAAAGAAAAATCAATTTATAGTAGCGTGGCCTGGACTAACAGCACCCAGACTCTGCTATGTATCAGTGCACCAGTTACCAAATATCCCCAATTCCCACGTGCTGTTGAAGGGGTGACATCTGAGACTGTACATGTGCTGTCACAGGTAAAGAAGTCTGAAAATCATGTTATGTTTCTACTTTCAAATGAAGAAACAGACCGCTATTTCACAAGCCAGAGGATGGCACTGAGCAAAGAGAGCGCCAGCCTAAGGTTGCTTCCCCTCAAACCACGACTTATTGAGATCCAGAAAGGAAAAAGCGGTTATGGATTTTATCTACGGATGGAACAAAATACTGGTGGTAAGATCCAAGTTAACACACAGGCCGTGACATTTGCTGTACCATTTCTTCCTATATGATGCTTGCAGCCCTCATTCTCTTTGGCTTCTTGCTGGCCATCTAGAAATCCTCAGGGAAAACAGCTTCAACCTGAAGAGCAATTTTGACCATTTATGTTTGCCACGCCTTTTAATGTCCTTAAAACTCACCAAGCTCTGCCTTCACAGCAATCTTTCTCCCCTTCTTATCTCAGATCACGTAATCAAAGATGTTAATTCTGGAAGCCCAGCAGCCATGGCAGGTCTAAAGGACAATGACATCTTAGTGGCTGTCAACGGCGAGCGAGTGGATGGGCTGGATCACGAAAGCGTAGTAGGAAAAATCAAGCAGTCTGAGGAAAGAACCTCCCTGTTGGTGGTGGATAAGGAAACTGACAGCATGTACAAACTGGTAAGAAAATGCAAACTGCTGCTAGGAATTGATAATTTATCACAATGAAACAGCCAATCTGCTCTGACACTTCTTCAACTCGCAGGAAATGCCAAGAGACACCTGTGTTCCAGCAACTCCACTTACACTGGTACAGGAAGTCACTTAACACCCAAATTTTTGGCCTCTTCCTGATTTTTATAGACACTATTGGAACAATTCTAAATTCAAACATCACAAAAAAGGTTAAGTTTTGCTGTTAAGACAAATTCAGAGCTACATGACTGCAACTATTTATAAATAACAAATTTCCCTTCTCACATAGATCAACACTGTATTAGAACAGGGAAGAATTCTTCACTGGAGCTAAAGTCCTAGTCATTAAAAAAGTTTCAAACAAAATATGTTGAGCATGAGAGCCTGAAACAGATTTCACAACAGAAATTATTTTAATGTAATTTTGTCACTTTTTTTCAGGCTCAAATTTCCCCTTTCTCCTACTACTACAAAGCATGGGATTCAACCCCAGCTAAAACAGAGGAAAGAGTGGAGTTGCACACTGAGCAGAAAGTGAACCACAAGCCAAGGATCTGCAAGATGGTGAAAGGACCTAATGGATTTGGCTTCAGTTTAAACATGATCAAGAGCAAACCTGGATTGTTCATCACTGAGGTACTAATGAAGAACGAGGAGCAAGGAGATCAAGTAGTCTGTTGGGCAGCTTCCTCCCCTCCATCCTGCAAACAAATGCACAAAAGTCTCTTTTCCAATGTTCTCAGATCAGAGCTAGAATTGTTTAAGTCAGACTAACGCTGTTGGCCCAAAATAAAAAATGAGCACCAGAAAACATGAGGGAAGGAGAATTCAGCTTTTGCATAATTTTGGCTGTTATTCATGAGTCCAGAATACTAAAATTAGTATTTTAGACAGAATTGGTTTTTACTGTAGAACAGCTTAATTATAGAAGAGATGCCTTAGCCCTAATTCTAATTCACCTTCTCTGAATCCCACAGCTGGTAAAAGCCAAACTGCGTCTGTTCCAAATTACATCTGTAACTTCAGCTTTCTTGAGATGAGGGGCTCCACTCATTACTAAAGGATCTGTGAATTGTACTAAACTTTGAAGTTATTGGACAGAGACCTCCAAATAGTTAGAAAAGTTTTTCTACCCGTCTTCATGGTTCTTCCATGCCACATTCCTATAATGTAAACCGATCAAGATCAACATTTTAAAATCTCAAACTGATGGGCTCTGTGTTTATTATGTCTGGGCCCATTGCCCATCCCAATTCCTTCCTGCCCCACAAATCTCCACTTCCCCATGCTGATTTCACCATCCTCTAGGGAAATCAGTAAAACAGCTAACCCTCAGCTGTTCATGCATCTTTCCAAGCTTTCTGCCAAGACCCTGCTTTCAACTCCCCTCTGCAGGTACAAAGCCAGGGAGCAGCTGGCAGAGCAGGTGTGGAAAACAACGACTTCTTGGTGGAAGTGAACGGAGTGAACGTGACCAACGAATCCTATGACAAGGTGGTGGCAAGGATCCAAAGCACTGGGGACAGACTGATACTGCTGGTGTGCAGCAAAGATGCTTACAGGTACTTCCAAGGCCAAAACATTCCCATCACAGCCTCCATGGCAGAATCAGACACTCCTGAGGCTCCAGCTCACACAGAAAACCATCCAGCAGAGGCAGAGAGGAACTCACCTGAGCCAAGGGAAAGGGTGAGTAATCCTGCATTAGGCAGATGCTGAGGGATCGCACAGAGGATAGGAAAAACACTTTTTTTTTCAGGTAGTAAATTTTCCAGATTGTTAACTTGAGCTGGGATTTTTTGCAAGTTACTAAAAGGAAAGCTGTTAATTATCACAACAACTCTTCTTTTCCCCACACGTAACACAGGTGAGTATCTTTAATGCAATATTAAATCACATAAAGAACACACATACAAGAGATTTTATGGAACAAGATAACCCAAATACAGTAATCCCAATGATGGGAAACAGGCAATACAATTGTGGAAGTGGAGGGAAAAGTGCTTACATAGAAACAGTGCTTAAACAGAAAACATAAACAACATTTGTGAAAACCACATGAAATATTTCCAAATCATCATTTGGAGAAGGAACAGCAAGTGATAGGTTATGACATTTTCTAGGCAATGTGCTGATTTGAAATTATTTTACTCACTTCATGCCACTAGGAAGAATCTGAAGCATGCCTAAAGTCAGAAAAGCAAGAAGGTATTACTTTTTGAAACACTTTGAACCCTCTGTGGTCAGCCTTAAATATTAAAATGCTTATTTTCTCATCATGCAAGAGACAGACAAGGTAAGACCAATAGTGTTGCCCATTTATTTTTCATTAGCCTTTTCTGCAAGTTTTTTCAAGAATATCTTAGTACCCAAGCTGCATTTTGCAGAAGTTAGCACTACTTTTGTGTTCAAACTGTGCAGATATGGGAATTCAACAATAGAAACACTCTATTGAACAAAATTCTCTGAAAATGTACTTTAACAAAAAAACCCTTCAACAACAAAAATGGTATTTGTTGGCTCATTCTGCCATCTAAACAAGTGTGTGATTAGTACAGATGAAAACAGGAGTCTGCAACAGTGCAGACTATCAAACATGTTTACAAACTGAAAGTAATCACAACATCTTTGTTACTCCTCTGCAGGCAGACTCATCCTCCTCCTCCCAATCAGCAGCCTCCACAAGAGCTGACAGTGACAACAGTGATGACACAAAGTTGTGACGAGACAAAACTATGCCAAGAACAACAAAAAAGAAACCTGCCAAATCTTTTCTTCAGTTCTTCTTTGCTATTCCACCTCTCAGAACTTGGCTGTTCCAAGGAGTACCAGAACCATAAAGGACTGCAAACTCTTGCTGCAATAAACACTTCAGTGTAACTTGCATCCATTTAATACTGCAATTGTGCTCCACTGGCACAATTTCTGCCTTGTGAAGTGGGCACTCAGTCACTCACTTCTGAAAAGGCTTAAAGAACTGCAACTTTAGAATTAAGTGTCCTGCAGCAGAAGCTGGAAATGTTTTATAGATTCATAAGCATCTTAGGCTGTTATGGATAAGCTCTTAATAAAGAGCAATTGATTTCTGCCCATCCCCCAGGAAGGGCAGCTCTCCAAGTCCATCACTTCAGTCTCTGTGGCATCTTTGCTTACAGCAGTACAGCTGCTCTGAAATGGCAGAAGCCCAGGTACTCTGTGCATTATCTTTTTTCCTGCTAACATTGCAGAAACTTCTTTCAAACATTAAGCTAACTTTGGAATTCACAACTCAAGATGTTTAATCACTATTTTGTTTGCTCTGCATAAAGCTGTGGATTTGAACAGTGTATGTAATTCAGTCTAATCCCAAATCACCACCATGTTGTCTTGAATGTGACATAAATGGTTCTGTAATACTGCTGCTGCACTTGCTTCCTTGCTGTAAACCAAAGACAATACAGAAATAAATTGTTTAGAGTGGTTATTTCCCCCACTCCAAGTCTTACTCTTACTACCTATAATTTATGTTCCAGAACAATTATAAAACAAAGCCTCAGAAAGTGGCCATGAGAACCTAAAAGTTTAAGTCACAAGAATAAAATTCCTAACATACAATGTAAACAAGGCATGGCAGTGGTCTTCAACTTAACACTGAACTCTACCAAAGAGGAACCCAAAACCTCAGTTCCACTTATGCAGAGAGAAAAGAAAGTTGACACTCAGTAAGAGAAAGCAAATCTCCAGTTCCTAAGGACAGTAGATACTAGTGATACACACTACATACAGAAATGGAGTTCTTTCCACTCCACTCCTGCTGGACAGCAAATCCCAGCCACCTTCTGGCTCAAATCCAGCCCAGTCTTTGGGACTGACAAAAAACAACTGTGATACTCACATATTACAAAAGCTTATTTAATTCCACAGACTCAAACATTCAATTCCAGAATTGCTGTCCTCCAAATCCCAATTATAAGTTGATTTTCAAAACAAAAATCACATTTCTTTGTGCTTTCTGTGAAGATGATGTTCCAACAGTAGGAGGTGCTCCCTCAGCCAGCCTACCACACAAGCTCTGATGCCCCTGGATAGTGGTGTATCCAGGATTGCTTTTATGGCTTTGCAAATAACTGTTTCAAGTTTAACACACACCCCCCCATCCCTTCCAGCTGTGGCACTGAACAAAACGAGCCACAGAGCTTGATGATGACACGTGTGGAGGTTCAAGGAGCCAGAACACAGAGCAGTCCTGTCTCTCCAAGTTCTGCAGTCCACAGGAGCTGCAGCAGTGCAGCTGACAGGACAGAGAGCAGTGCATGGCTGCAGTTCTGCCTCAGAGGGTCATATGCTTTTCTGGGGCTTGTTTGTGTGCTAAATAGAGAAAGAGGATACTGGACAGGGCACTAACTAGGAATATCACATCAAACCAACGGTGATAGAAGTTGAACTGGAGCTCTCCCAGGACCTCTGTGATAATGGTGCGGTATTCCGGAGGCATGCTCATGCGGATCAGGAGCACTGATGATACAAAGTACATTCCCTGCAAGTTAAAACAGGGACAGCAGTTACTGCCTCACCTCAGGCTCTGTGGCTAGCAAGGGGCAGCACACAAAGACACTGTTATGTGTTCAAACACACACAAGGCAGGCATGCAGAAATGCACACGGGTATGCCCACGGTTCTCCATACCCACCATTATCTGTGCTAACAGCAGAACAATAACATTGGAGGACTTGCTGCTGGAAATGGCATAGAAGAACTAGGGAAAAAAAAAAACCAAAAACATTGGAAATAAGCAGTTAGGTAAGTCTGATGTGTCTTAGGACAGTATGAAAGGAACATTGTTTCATCCCAAAATACCCCATCAAAACCATACACTCTAGAGGGCTACCTATAAACTACTCTCATAAACCTTCCATAAACCTTCATAAACCCTAGTCTGCATCAATCTTCCCCAGCCAGCTGCACCTTGTGTTAAAAATCACAAAACAATACACAGAAGGCTAAGCATAGGTACCAAAGGCCAGGTCAAGCCAACGAGTCACATGTCTGTTGAGTTAATGCTTTCAGTCCTACCAGCAGCTTAAATTAAGTAATGCAAATGCTTTTAATCACATCTCATCAACCTTACTAATAAGCCTTGGCTACAGCATCATTTTGAACCCTTGTTTACATTTAACACCTAGATCCCTTCCTGACAGAGACTGGGGAAATATCCTGCAAAAGGTATCCTTCCTATCTTCATCCCTCTGCAAGAATTTATATTCAGACATTTAAACATAAATACATATTGAAGGTTTATACAGTACTTGTTCCATCAAAAGGTGAAGATCTGATAATTAATTTCTCTGTGTAAAACCACTTAACAGTCCTAGTTCTTACCTTTGTAAGTGTGATTAACAACCCTCTAATAGAGGTAACAATGATTATTCCAACAAGAATAAAGGAAATGTGCTGAGACCAGAATTTGACCTGTATCAACAAGAACACAGTTAAAACTTTAACAATAACTTCATTTACGCCACCTTGTATAGCTGCCAATTCTTCAGGATCTTTGTCTCTCCTAATTGTACAGATATCTACTGTAGACAAGGTTTATATAACAGACATTTTCACAAATGTATTAGCAACTGTTTACTCCAAACACAAGAGAAGGAGATTTAGATTACACCAATCACAAAGAATCCCATTTTCATAGATTGTGTAAATGACAGAACAACTATTTGCATAAAAAAATAAAAATTACTTTGGAGCTGAATGTATTCATCTAAGCAGATTGTGTAAAGTGCTTCTATTTCTCCAAAACAAAAAAACCCAAATCACTGCCTGTTTGGCAAGACCACATCCCCATCTCAGCATAAAATCAATGTGAAAGCAACATGCATGGTGCATTTTCCTTTCCTCCTCAATAAGTCAAAAGGAAAGCCATATTCTCAGGGTCTATCACTTTCTCCCTAGCAGCAGGATGCTTTTATTTAGAGAAGATACGAATTGCTGAAAAGGCTGCAAGAATTAATAAAGGCTCACATCAAACTGGATTCCCAGGTAATTTACAGTGATCTCAATTCCTCTTGTGACTGGATCAGTCTTCCCCACACGGTCAAATACAATATTGATGGTTGCCTGCAAGAGAGATGGATTTACATTCAAGCAAAAAGGAAAAACAATTCTCACTCTCACAGGTGAGGCTCATTGTACCACCAAGAAAAGGGCAGGGGGTGGTCAGACTGCCAAAGGCAGCACAAAACACATCCATGTAAGAATTACTGGTGTAATGCTGTATAGAAAAAGCCAGATACAGAGCTTTATTTCAATCAAGGGCCAGTTTCTTTCAGAATTTCTGGATTTTAAACAAATTAGAGCATTACTTAATGAACTGCATGCATAGCATAATGTATGCAGGGTATAGCTGCATACATCCACAAAAAATGAAATAAAACGTTTACATACCATGAAGATTTTCCAGACACAATAGATGGAGAAAAAATAACCCAAAAAGTTAAAGTATTTTCCCTGGAAAGTTTTTGAATACTCTATTCTCTCCTGGAAATACAAAATAAGAGAGAGGGAGCAGAACATTAAAAAATATGTCATTTTCACAAGCACCCACAACATAAAATTGTAGTGGAGCACCAACAGTAGGAAACACAGCCCTATCTTTCTACATATTTTAATTCAAATGTTTCTGAACTCCTAAGTGTTAATTTATAAGCTTGTAAATAGTTACAGGGCCATGGGGCAGACACAAGGATGGATCTGAACTGCCACCTAGCCCTGACGTTAAAGGAACAGATCCTCAGTCCACTGCATTACAACATTTCACCATTTACCTCCTGAACAGGTTTCAATTTCTCATAACACATCTTCTCTTTCAAACTACTCTGACCCCCCAACACCCATCTGGGCAGTTATTTGCTGTGTACCTTTGTTGCATGCAAGTCAGCAGTTTCCAGGAAAAGCTGCCGACTCAATTCTTCCAGGGCATCCACTTCTTGCTGGATAAGGGACAGATCTGGCAAACCAACATAGTCAAGGCTAGAACACATCATGAATTATTAACTAACATTCCCCACCTTCAGCTCAAGGGCCAGATCTAATGGTTTGGTCTCTTTTTAGATCCAGACCAGCTCTGTAATTCAGTCTTCATGGTCCTCATTAAAACAGCAAGAAAGAAATCTGAAGGATGAACCTGATGCACACTACTCCAGTTAAGGAGGTAGGCAGGACACGGTATTCAGGCAGTCATGCACCAACCTCTTTGCCTGGGAAACACATCACAGAATAGAACCAGAGCTCTCAAAAACTGCTGCTCCACTTTGATCAGTGTCCCTTGCCACTGAAGTGCATCTCACAATATGTCATCTCAGATCATCTCATAAACAAAACTGCTGAGTAACTGCTGCAAGAGATTAGTGATTCATATGAATAGTCTGTCAAACAGCCAAATTCTGATTTTAGCAGCTAGTGTGAAAGGAGAGGAAGAAGAGTCCTCAGCCTCAAATATGCAAAATGCACTTCAAGTGGTCTGACAGAAATCATTGGTAAGCAACTCTGTTAGAGAAGTACAGATCTTTGTCATTCCCAAGAGATTCCTTCTACAGGGAACTGGATGATCTTTAAGGTCCCCTCTAACCCAAATCATTCTATGACTCTGTGGTAAGTGTGCACATCAAGTGTCCCCTGATCTGCTGTACACCTCACACATGGTGATGCAACAGAACATTTATAGAGCAGGGCAAAAACATAAAACTTCTGCCTGTGTCACAGTAAAACTGTGCCCAAGGCCTGGGCAAAAGGTCAGACAGTGCCAGAGAACAAACTTCCCAGGAGACACTAGGCTTGAAATGTGCTGAAACACAAATGCTTTGTGACTGTCCCAGCTAACACTCTACCTCTCAAAACAAAGAAAGCTGGATCCACCTCCCAAGGCAGGTGCCAGCATGCAGATGAAGGATACTTTCACTGCCAGGAACAGATGTTGTAACACTTTTTATCATTCCCCAGAAGCCAGTGGGTCTGTTATGCACTTCGCCTCTCTGGAACATTGTCCTGTGAGCCACTGCTATCCTGAAAGAACAGCAAACACAAGTCCTTATGAATACAATATTTTTATGAAAAATCAAAACAAGAAAAAAAAAAAATCCACCAGTTTCTTAGAAGTTGTTAAACTAAATTCACCAAAAATAGATGACCCTTTTTTCTTCCCCTAAGCACCAATCCCACTACATAAAATTATCCTGATTAGGTCTGGAGTAGAGCCCAGATCTAATCAAGTGAGATTCAATGAGACACTTCCCAAGCCTTCCATTCAGGATCCTGTTTCAACCCTCAAAGGATTTAAACCCAGTTAAACATTCAGAATTCAAAGGGATTTCTCAGCCATATGATTAGTTGCTTTCCTTTTCTCAAACACATGACTGTGTTATCTCCAGCTCAGGAATTAGAAGACTTCTGATGCTCTTCCCTCCCCTTGGACACCTCTTCTTTATCACAGCACACCCGCCTTTTCCATGGAGCTATGAGCTCTGGATGGTGTGCAGAGCACTCTCTGGTATGCTGTCACTCACTGCTGGGCTGCATGACAAGCTGCTATGAAGCAGAAACACATAAATCCATTCTTGGACTGAACCACTGGATGCTTCAGGCGATCTGAACGTGACTCCTGAAGTTAATTCCAACACTCCAGCAGCAGCTGTGTATCGTCCCTCACACTTCCATGTGCACCACAGCATAATCCCCACGAGCAGTGTTGGCTTCTGGTCTCCTTCCCTCACATTTCTCCCCACTGAAATTTGTGAGCAAGTTATCCATTCCTAAGCTGAAAACTATTCACAGGATTCTCAGGATGATGCATGATTCTGCGGTGTTTAGTCCCTTTCTTGTAGCTGCAGCCAGCATTGCTACATTTGGCACTGAGCCCTCTTCAAGGATGTTGATAAGTAACGTAATAAAAAAAAATTTAAAAATCGTTCCATCATTCCTCTGACATCAGCAAAAGAAACACCCTTGGGGCACCCTACATACAGATAAAAGCACATATGGCCACGGACTACAAATAACAGAGATCTCAGAATTCTGATAGCTGCCAAATGTAAGAAATGCATTTTTAATCCTTGCTTTCTTCACAGTACACAGATTCACAATGGGCCATCCCAAATGATCCACAGCATTGCAGCAAAAATGCAGCAACGTCCAGGGGAAACACCTTATAGATACACAAAGGCAAATCTTCTCTTTTTAGAGGTGGCAGGGATCTCTGTATCCACACAGCAGCCAGGACTTCTGGAGACCTCACAGAACGGATCCACAGGCAAACCCCACATGCTCTGCGTGTAGATTGGTAATGACAGTGTGTGGTATTTGCATGTCACATCAGCTGATCTGACTCTAACATGACACAAATGAAGCAATGCCATCAGAATGCTGGCATTTCAAAGCTGAGGATTAGTTATGTCACACCTGCAAGAACAAGTATAAAGAATCTGACAGCCTTAGAGGTGAGTTTTCATAAGGCTTTACTCGATGGTGCTCAGGAAGAAGAGAAAAGTGATTCCTGTGCAAAAACCATCAGGGCAAACAACTTTCACCAGCTATCTGCTGCTGACTAGAAAGCCAGCATGAATAAGAGTTGGCATGAGAAGAAATGCCAGGATCAGCAAAGAAAACAAAAAGCTTTATGTTCTATTGACTTACAGCTCTTGTGCTCACTGATAAGTTCTGAGCTATCAGTAGTACTGAGAAGGTGGCCAGCACATCACTGACAATTAATGGAACTGCAGCATTTCCCCTGAGCTGGAAAATACTGCTATTCCCACTTGTTCTGCCAATTACTTGGTTGCATTTGGACTGATACATGTTTAACCTTTTAAATTTGGCTTTACATGAGCAGATAGTCCAATCATGCAAGCCCACTGCTCCCTGTCAAAGCAAAAAAAAGAACAAGAATCTACAGAACTCAAGCTTCTGCTACTTCTTGCACAGTTCTGAGATTACTTAGTTTTGCACATCGTTTTGGGTTTTTTGTTGGGTTTTTTAAAACATATACATGAGTTTCATTATAATTCCCGAGTGATTAATACATGGCTCTTCACAGCGGTTGGGAAGTTGCCATATTCAGAAGATTTCCTGGTCATAGAAAGGCATGAATGTGCTAGTTAGTTACAAGCCTCTGGCATCCTGACTTTTACCCCAACATCACTCTCCCTGAACCAGAGGTCCAAAAACACGGTACAAAACAAAAGAGCAGAGTCGGAAACAGCACTACACAGTATCAAAATTTTAACTGTGGCATTCTTTTAGAGTGCTTCCAGTCAATTAAATCAATTAAAACTCAGTAATTAAATTCTCTCACTACTTACCATCTCACACATGACCACAGAGTTAACAGCTGCTCACCACTTAACATTTTCAAAGGGGAAGGACGTTATGCTTTAACTACACTTCCATCAGCTAATACTCATCAGCAGATACACATGGTGATAAATTTGGCAAAGTTCTATCTAAACTCCCCTGCACATGTTAAAAGTTCCATTGAAACTTAAAGGCACCAAAAATAAAGTTTGGGAGACTGTTGTGTCAGACAGTCAAACCTTTGAAGTAACTCCAGTAACTGGATTTATTCTGCACTACTAGCAAGACGTGAAATATGTAATACTGATATGAAATATGCAGACAAAAATCTTTCCAGTGTAAATCAAATTACATGGTTTCTGAAAGTAGGTGTTTTTTTTAGCTTGGGGGACATGAAATAAGCTAAACCAATGCCAGCAGAGTTCTGATGGCACACTGATGTACTACAGTATATCCACATTAGCAATGTTTTGCAATTCTGCAAAACTTAACCAACATGAACCTTGCTGTTTGCAAGAATACAGCTGTGTCCACACCAGCTCACTACCCAGCTTCAGCTTTGACCAGGATCCACCATATATACAAACCACGTTCTGTCCTGAAACCACGAGTAAGAGCCAGCTGTAGTGGCCTAAGGGTCCCTGACTCAGTGGGAGAGAAAGGTGCCCATCCTACAGGTAAGATATTCTGCCAGCAGAGAGTTACAAATGGTCTTGGAAGCCTAATTTGTGCCACTGCAGCCACCAAGGGCACTGCTTAGTGTTAAAAACAGCCATGCATCAGGCCAGAACAAAACACCACACAGCTCAACCCAATTCAGATTTCAAGAACCATCTTATACCACACTGACTGTAAATCCTTGAGATAAATAATTTCGTGCTAATGTTGTCCTCTCACCTTTTTTTCTTGCTAACAATCATGTCCATAGTCTGAAGGAGTCGTCGCTCCAGAGCCAGAATATCTGCATCTGTCACATTCCTGCAAAATAAAGACCCCAGTTAGGCCTGTTAGCCCATTTCAGAGGAGATGTGCACATGCCTGTGAGGCAAAGAAAAGCCTGTATAAGGGGAATATGCAGAGCAATGGAAATGGTTTTAGCATGCAGACATGACAGCAGCTAGATTCAGAAAAAAAGTAACAAAAAAACTTCAAACAATGCCACAGGAAAAGTAAAAAAATAATCTCAAAAAGCTGGACAAGTATTTCACAAGGCTGAAGTTACCTGAGAAAGTAGGACATGTAAGTGTATGGACAGTTGACAGCCCCAAATCCTGACAGCAAAGCCATGAGTGTCACTCCAATCACACCAACACGGCTGATGAGCTGTTCTATAGACAGGATTCCTGAGGGAGGGAAAAACATGGCATCAGCAACCTTGCTCTCTTCACTCTGCTCGGAACTCGGTGCCTTCCTAACATAACATAGAGCTGCTTAATTAATCTGACTGCCTTCCCACTGCAATGACCCCAGGTAACAGGAAGGACAGACAGGGACTAGGAGAAGAAAGGGGTAGGAAGTCTCCCTCAGAAATCACGTTATCCTGCTTAGAAACAGAGATGGGGAACTCCAGCTATGAAGAAACTTAAGACAGACATATGGATATGTGGAGAGGACTAAATATCAATATTTTGGTTCCAAACTAATAAAACATGTTTGCCATTTGCTGAGGTGAGAACCCAGATCTTCCACCAGGCACTTATAAAGGAGTGTCTTCCAGAAAGGTACTTCTGCAATTATCACCAAACCAGCTGGTCCTGGCAAACTGGCCTAAAAAAGTCTGAACCCCCATCCCATTAGAAACGACCCCTCCATATCAGATACAAGCTGTGCTTGTAGGACAGTGGGGTTGGGAAGCTTAAGCTGCTCCTGGCTGTTCAATGCTCATCTGGTTGACACCAACATGTTGTTGAGGTGACCACCAACAAGGTCTTCTACCTGAGCACCAAGTGGACTCTAAAACTTGTAATTCAACATGAACATCAAGCCTGTGCTGTAACCATCACCAAGCATTGAAGCTGCATTTATTCTTAACCACAGACCTCAACCTGCCTTTCCAGGACACAGTGTCATGTGTAGTAAACACCAGTCACTTTTTGGGGAGCTGGTTATAGAGCAGCTGCCACACACAGCACATTTAGAGCTTACACGATTGCAAAGCTGAGATGGCTGAGCGCCAAACCACATTTCATGCTTCAGAGAAGTGGAATGAATGATGAAAACAAGGCAAAAAGACTTCACAAAGGGAAACTGAGACACCCAGTCATGTGCAGCTGCATAGAGATTTACAGGAGCTACAGAATGTGCTACAATACACTGGCCTTTTGCCCCACGCACTGTCAGACTGCAGCACTTAAAACAGAGGTGCCTTCAAAATGACATGACATTCCACTGGTTGGAGCAATGCTTCCCCATGAAACTCACACATAAAATGAATGAATGTTCCATCAACTCAAACAGAGGTAGGAGCTTTATTAGAATACTGGTGTGTCATTAAGCATAACCTTCCATAACAAGCTCCCAACCTCAGGTCTGTTAGATAAGCTGCAGTCCAAGGGAGCCCTTGCTCAATGGTGAACTGCTCAGCTGCAGGACACTGCCATCCCCAGTGCCTGAATTGGGTCACCACTCCCTGACACAGGAAACCCACAGCAGCCTTGTCTGTGCATGCAGGACAGCAGCACCCCAACAACACAGCAGGGAACAAACATGTGCAATCCTTTGCTCTAACCTCATGTCTACATCTGGTAGGATGAGGCACTGTAGAACTCTTAAGTGGAGGTATCACACCCTGTAAAGCACTCTACTACCCATTCTGGAAATCTGCAGGTGTTACATAGCCTCCTAAAACCTTTTGGTGACATAAAGAGGATTACCCAAACCCTATGGCTGAGTTTCCACAGGATTGTTACATTCTGCCAACTCCAGCAGCTTCTGCAGCTCACAGTGGATACAATTTTTTCTTGGCAATGGAACACTGGGCAGAGGGATCTGCCCTATAGATCAGGAACTGGATTTCTGAGGTAAATGACAACGGCAAAACACAGACACACATTTATCTCAGGAAACTTTTAGGATCACAGATGAAAGGGTGAGCACACCCTTCATCAGCTGGTATCCTTCAACTTCTCATAAGAGTACAGAGTCAAGCAGCTTCCCACAGAACAGAAGGACTAAGCTGAGCATTTTGTACACAGACATATTCACCAATTTCCATCAAACTGACTGAATTTCACCTACTGGGAACAATATCCAAACAATCTTCCAGTGCAGGGGAAATAGAAGGGCAATATAAGATACACAGGTAACTCCACTGACAAATAGTCTGGTTCTAACAGCATTACAATCCTGCACAGCCAGGCACATGCCATCTCTGTTGGACCCAAGTGCACACAGTATTGTCACACTGAAAATACTCATGACCACAACAGAGACACCCAAGCTAATTCTGTACACAAACAGCTCTGGCATCCAGCAGGATTTACCAACCCACACTCCAGTTCCATGCAATTGCACAGCCTCTGGGCTCAGGCACAGCAGGAATCTGTACCAAAGCCAGCACAACTGCCAGGCCCCTTGCTGGCTACAGTCTGTGCAGCTCTGGAGTTTAGGCACACTGCTGTGTTTTGGACACAACTGGACAGCCATTCATGCTAAACTCATCTGATTTCAGCCACAAGAAAGAAAAACTTGACTGAAAAAACGTCAGATTAAGGATTGGTTGTTCATCTTCTTCTTCTTAAATAAACTAGGTTTAGTCTCCACAATAGAAAGAAGTAGGTAAATAAAAATTGTGATCAACTTTTTGTGGAGATAAAGTTTCTGTGTCCTCAAAAGTACATCATGTCCTTACATAGTCTAGGTTCAGTTAGAACTTACTTCCTTCAAGTTTTGCTGTGGTACTGAAAGAAAACTAATGAAAATAATCCAGATGTATCCAGCCATTTCTGTCAGTCTGACAACCTTCACATTGCAGATTTCAAAGCAGAGCAGACCCTCAGTTTCAGGAACTGCTTTCTACAGTGCCAGCTGCAGAGCTGAGATAATAACAGCTCCAAAATAGAAGTGAAATAACAAAGTCTATTTGCAGGAGGGAAGAAATCAGCAAGAAAATGAAACTCACCATGTTTTGGGCTGAGGATAGGAAATGGATCTCCCAGCTTCCAGAAGAAATACATGAATGTCAACCACACAACACATGCAAAAAGTAGTTTCTGTCTGTGCACTAATAGAGAGGAGAAAGGGAGTGTTTAAAATAGGCTCTTCCTTTAGGGCTTTTTATAGCTTTCAACATTTCTACATTGATCTAAATGCTACTTTGAGAACTGGTGGCCAAAGCAAGTGACACCTGACAGAGCCACAGCTTGCAGTGTGCACCCCTTCACCTCCCACAAGGCTCCCCTGTCCACATGGGACCATTTCACTGCTTCTCTCTTGTGTGATCTTGAATGTGAATCTTAAATATTTCATTTTTGTGGCAAAACTACACATTTCATATTCCCAACCTACATGCCTAAGCTTCACACAAAAGAGTGATGTCTAGAGTGTCCATGAGCCCATGGAAGAGGCCTCATCCAGACAGCAGAAACAAAACCAGCAAAAGCAATTTACTGAGCTTTTCTGCTTCAGAAGTGATTTATTGAGCTTCTCTGCCTCATTTCTTTTGCCCCCTAGCAGAAAAACACAGCCCTGCCAAGGGTTGCAGAGTTTGGCTGCAAGCTTAAAATTGCAAAGGAACAAATCCCAGTAATATTACTCCGAAGTGCTCAACTTTCTGTTGAAACCCATGAAGAAAAGCAGCATTTGCTGGGGTCACGTAAAGCATTTCCTGACTGTTCAATGTATGGTTCATGATAAAGCATAAAGTTCAAAAGAGAAGGTATTTAGCCAGAACAAAACCAGGGCAAGGAGGGAGGTACAAGGACAGTAACCAAAATTATTTCTAATTTGCATTTCTAGGCTCAAATTAGCAGCTCCCTGGCCACAAACCAAGTACTCACATAATCTGATATTGCTCACAACAAAGTAACCAATGTAGAAGGGCACCATGAAGACCAGGATGAGCAAAATGACACACAGGTTCAGCTTCCAATGAAAATATCGAGAGCTGAAACAAAGACAAAATACTGATTAACACAACATCATAATACAACAAATTTCTCAAAGAAAATTGCATGTCAGTGAAATCTTTTCAACTACATCAAGCAATGAATATAATTGGCTTAGCATATAGAATAATCTGGATTTTTTTTATTAGGGTAGAAGAGAGGGAGTTGTTTGGTTTGGGGTTTTGTATAGTTTTATTTTTAAATACAGAGGTCAAGAATGTCTATTTAAAACTAAATAACTGTCCAGAAAACCACACTGGGTATTTTATCAAATACTGTATTTTCTATGGTGACTAATGCCAGTTGCAGCATGATTCATGTGACTGACTGCTCATCCAGTTGAACAGTAAATTAAAACTAATTATAAGCAGTAATTAATTTTCTAATGAACAGCTGAGTCAAAAAAAGAGCTAATTCATACTGAAAAGACTAAAAATATTCAAAGTTGATAAATCAGCATGTTTCACTTCAGAGTGGATTCTCATCTGCAAGACTTTGCAAAGCAAAGTATTTATATATGTATTTATAAATACATATATAGATCAATATGATGAACACTCCTCTGACCGAGTTAGAGTAGTCAAATGCAGGTGAGATTCATCTTGGCTGAACTGAACTTTCAATTTACTTTAACAGGAAAATACATGTCCCCATTCCCCACACTAACTCATATCCTTTTTATCCTCAGGGAAGATGAAATTACAAGGATCCTTGTCACTTTTTCCTAACTAATTCAGAAGCAAACATTTTCATCTATACTGAAGTCTAGCCCTTTATTGAAGCTTCTAAAACCATTCTCCTCAGTGATCTCTCTGGGTTCCAGCCCCATGCATTAATAACACACAGAACTAACATTACCTTTCATCAGTTCTGTACTTCTTGCCTTTCAAGCCCTTTGACTACTCTCTTATATTTCAGATGAGATATAATAAGAAGAGATCCAACTTAGCCTCTACATGTTATTGTTCTATCTTCTCTTTCCTACTGACTTCCAAAGATGACAGTTTTTAACATCACCTTTATGTAAAAGTCTTCATCCTATTGTTGAGGAGGGATTCACCTTTGATTCACAAATCCTGTATTGTTACAGACATAGCTTGCACTCCACAATTAGCTTCACATCTTATTCACTCCTCTGACCACCAAAGAAAAACCAGTGCTTAAGCATTCTGTACTCTTTAGCATCTGAAAAGTGCTCTTAGCATGATCTGAACAGTTACAATACTTCCATAAAAGAAATAATTTCTTTTAACTTCACAAATGGAGAACATCAAAGGCAAAAGCCTTGCCCTAAGGACCTAGACCAATTGTTAATAGCAATTGCATGGAAAATTGGAAGCTTATGGCTACTAGTCCCATGTTCTGTCAAATAAATAAATGTTACTGCACAAACATCTTCATTGAGCTGCTGACAGTTTTCTCCTGTGATTTCCCCAATCCAAGACTAATCCATTAATTTAGAAGTTAGACTGAAGATGCTGCAGAGCACAAGGCAGGCCAGTCCCCAGTGGGCTCCCAGACTCACCTGCTGTTCAGCACTCCCAAAATCTCAAAGATGATGAGCTCAAACATGGTACAAGAGAAGGCAAAAGTCACAGAGAAGATCACCTGGACCACATACTGTCGCACCTGCAATGCAGAGAACAACCCAGAGACATCAGGCACTTCCATTTCTGGAATGGCATCCTGATATCCTCAGATGACAAAACAAATTCCAAGGTATGATGGCCCACAACTGGGTCTCTTGCTTAAAGGCACCAAGCCCTTTATCTGCTTAGGAGGAAGCCAAAAGCCTCTTGGAAAACAGAGGGCAAACTCATACACTAAGAGAGCTCTTTCACATTAACCTTAGTTTTAAAAATAAAATCCGCATCAGAAAAACTGCTGGGGTCTGAATTTGGCTTGCACCTAAACCACGTCTGACCTAGACTACAATCTCATACTCCACTATGGATAAGAGAATGGTGTTTTAGCCTGTCCAATCCTCACAACCAATTCAGCTGCAATTGACATATCTCACTAGGTTTAAAGTTAACCACTGGATTTGATTTTGTCTCAAAAATTTCACCTTATATAAGGTGAGCTTACCCACCTTTAAAAGGCAAAACAGCTCCCTCAGTTTCCTTTTACCCCTGCATCTCCTCCATATTTCTGTTTATTTAACAGTAGCCAGTATGGAAACTTTCAGTGGCCACAGAAGAACCCATTTACTCAGATATCTAGGAGTCTTTCAAACAGAAGCACAAAAGGAAATTAAAGACAAAGTAACTGCAGATAAGATAAAAGGGATTAAAGAGAGGAATAAGGCTAAATGCAGTTTTAAAAATATTTCTATAATTAGGAGTATTTAAGATACAGACTTGTAATGGAAGGTTTCTTCTCACCTCATAATCCTTGAAGAGCTTTCGCATGAAGAAGAGCCACCCAAATCCAAAGAACAGCACCTGCAGAAGAGACGAGGCACTCAACATTTGCATCCTGCAGCTTCCAAACATAAACCCACTGCACTGCTGAGTGCAAATTAAACAAATGGAAGGAAAAGAGCTAACCCAAAGCACCCAAGATCCACAAAAGATTAAAACTTGCCACAGTACCGTGGAAAAAATAACGTTTTAAATATCTAAGTGCAGCAGACACAAAATGCTATGGCCTTAAGGAAGATCTAGTCAAGACAACAGATTTTGGTGTTCCTAAATTCTCAGAATTCCTCAGGTCCTGGCCTACCAGAATCCTTTGCACTCTTCTTGTTTCACTCTTGTAATCTACAGAATTACAGCCTATGGGTTTTTTTACAGGAAATACAGAAATGGAGGCAAAGCAAACACCTGAGTGTCCACCAGCTACACATCTTCTAGGGATGAGTGAATTCTATAAAAACACCTGCTGTTTCCTGTAGACTAGAAGTGTGTGTGAATTTTTGTCCCCAAATACAACCTGGAGCTGCAGGAAGCCACATGGACAAGGCAGATGAAGCAGAAAAAGCCAGTAACACTTTGCATTTCAGTGGTCATGAAAGCACATTACAAAATTTGTTAAAGTTTCTTCACCTCCAGAAGGGATCAACTTAGTATCACAGCTATTTTGCAGATGACTTAAATGAAGTAAATACAAATTGAACAAGGTGGCCAAAATTGCCATTACCTGTCTTCAGAAAGTAAAAGGGGGCTGTGGTGTCAAGCATCCCATGGGTAGTCCCATCTATTCCTCATAAGACAGAAAGGGAGTGTAATGATTTTAAAAAACCCAAGCAAAAAGAGAATTCAGGAAATACTCAGTGTTTTTTACAGAAGTAGCATTGTCCAAGGCAAAGACAAAATTCAGTGCATGTCAGACACCATGGAATAAAGTCAGTGTGTCTCCTCAGAGCACACGGAAAAGGCCAGAGCTTTCTGCCCACCCTGCCGTGGAGATGAGAAACATTCAAAGACAAAACCAAAGGAATTATTGTGGATTACTTCCCTGCACATCAGGAGTAACCACAGTGGCAAAGGTAACACACTGACATGATTTACAGACAAGGAATACCTGGAATGCTGGGCAAGAAGATCAAACACAGCTGCCTTGAAAGAACAACTGAAATAGGAATGAGGTCGAAAGAGTGCTTTGTAACAGCTGGAAAAACTTGTTTGGGAAGGACTTCAGACTTTAAAGTAGCTGCTAGCAAAAAGGAAAGCTATTCCACAAGCCTCCTATCTCGGGGTCATAAGCTAAATAAGTATGATAAGCAAATGAGATCTACATCAAGTAATTCCACATTTAACAGTGGGAATGAGGAAAAAGGTAGGGACAAACTCTTCAAAAAGAAGTAAAAGATTAAGAGATGAGTAGGTACAATAATAACCAAAAACTAAACAAGATTAGACTCCCCTTGTGTTAGGGACTGTACAAAAGCAAAGAAAGACATTTTGGTAAAAGTTCACACTCTAAGACACTGCAGGTGAACGTGACATGTAAACTCAGTAAAATCTTGAGCATTTGACAATTACATGAGGTGACTTGAACATCTAACTTGGTACTGTTGAAGGTAATGAGAGACTTCAAAGCTGCCATAAGAAGTGAAAGAAAAGCTGTTAGATAAGTTAGAGCTCAGAACTCAAAGCAAAAAAAGTGTGAGTTTTTGTTCTGGGTGAACTGTTAAAAATACCAAAGCTACGCTCTAACCCTAACCCAAACCCTCACCTTCAAGCGACCAAGAGGGAAAAAGTATTATCAAATGGGAGGGAATTATCTTAGAAGAACAATTATCATTGTTCTTCTAAGAAACAGCCAAAAGCTGTCCTGAAAATTGTCAGGAATTAGGGTTGTGCACTGAAATCTATCTAAGACGTGCTGCTGAGAGGGGAAAGGTTCCTTTCCCTCAGCTCATCCCTTATCATTACAGAGCAAAACTTTCACAGCAGCTCAAATCAGATCCCTCTGTGATCCACTTAAACGCATTTGCACCTGCTCCAACCGCCTGGGACCAGCCTTGTCGAGAAACACCAGCAACAAACCAAGCGCTCGGTAGAGACCCGCAAGACGAACTTCCCTGCCTGTCCCAAGTGGAGAAAATTAAATTTAAACGCAAGCGGCGCTCGGTTCTCCTGGGCCGGGCTGGGCTGGGTCGGGCCCGGCCTCCCCTGAGGGTCCGCGCGCCCCCCGCGCGGAGCGCTGCGCATGCGCGCCCCAGGCGCCGCCCCCGCGCTTCCCCAGGCACGGACCGGGCGCAGGGAGAGGGAACCCCGGTGACGGCGGGACCTCCCCGCTCCCTCGCCCTTCTCCCGGCCGGAGGCGCCGCGCCGCAGCGGCGGGGAAGGGGTGCGTACCTGTGAGGTGAACATGATGCTGGAGTCGATGAGGAAGCTCATGGCGGCGCCCAACGCTGCCCGCCCCGCCCGCCGCGCTTCCGGCTCCGGTGGCGGCGGCGGTGCGCAGGCTCGCGGGCGCGTGCCCCGGGCTCGGCGCCCCGCCCTCCTCGCGGAGGGGGCGGGGCCACGGCGGGAAAGCTCCGCGCCCCCCCGCGGGACCGGCCGAGAGGAGGGAACATGGCGGGGGCGGTGTGAGGGGAGCGAGCGGGCATGGCCGCCAGCCTGAGCCCTTCCAAACTCAGCTGCCCTCAAAAGCCGCAGGATGGGCACCCGCTGCTGGCCTGGGGGCAGAAGGGGGTGTGCGAGGCACAAAGAGAAGGGGAGGGTGGACACCGACCTCTGGGGGGGGGGACACGGACCTGTTGGAGCAAGTCCAGAGGAAGCCATCGAGTTAACTGGAGGGATGGAGCACCGCTCCTGTGGCAAAAGGCTGAGGAAATTTGGATTGTTCAGCCTGCAAAAGAGACGGCTTAGGGGTGACCTAATTGCAGCCTTGCAGTGTGTGAAGGGAGCCTGCAAGAAAGATGGAAAGGGGCTTTGTGCAAGAGCATGGAATGGCAGGACAAGGGGGAATGGATTCAAACTGAAAGAGGGCAGGTTTAGATTAAACATTGCAAAGAAATTCTTTACTGTGAGGCTGGTGAGGCACTGGAACAGGTTACCCAGAGACGTGGATGCCCCATCCCTGGAAGTGTTCAAGGCCAGGTTGGTGAAGCTCTGGACAGCCTGGTCTGGTGCGTGTCCATGGCAGGGCTGTGGAGCTGGATGGTCTTTAAGCTCTCTTGAAGACCCAAACAATTCTGTGACTCCTCTGCAGGGCAGCAGAGACACCACAACTGCTCCTGGCCCATCTTCCCCCCTAGGGGACATTGATCTGGAGCCCTCTCCATCCTCCCTCCACTGCAGATGCCTTTCAGGACTTGCAATTACAATATACCAAGGAATGGGGCCAGAAGGGAAGCAAAAGTGCAGACAGGGAATTTCCTGATGGCTATCGGTGTGAGATCCGATCCTTCATGTCACAGTCGTGTTCCCACTTGACCTTCATGGCGTCTGAATCTTTTTCCTCTTAAATACACACCTTGAGGAAATGGCCTCAAGTGGCACCAGGAGACATTTAGATTCGACATTAGGGGGAAAAAAATCACAGAAAAGATTGTAAAACATTGGAACGGACTGCGCAGGGAAGTGGTGGAGTCACCATCCCTGGAAATGTTTGAAAAACATGGATATGGTGCTTGAGGACATGGTTTGGTGGTGGTGCTGGGTTGGCAATTGGACTTGATGGTCTTGGAGCCCTTTTCCAACCTTAATGCTTCTGATCCTATGATTCTAACCATTGCCACTCAAAACTCTCTGTATTCAAAATAATGAACAAGAAGAGAAGAACCAAGTTGTGAGTTTAACAAAGTACAGATCCCCTGCTGACTGAAAATCAGGGAACTTTATTCATTGCAACTCATTTCACTAGGAAAACAAATCTATGTTTGGTTGTGCCAAGACACCAGATTAGTCCCACAGTCTCTGGTTGTTTGGCTTTCTGTCTTGCTCTCAGACTTCTTGGTTTGAAATTTGTCTCCTTGTCTGCAGTATTGCAAAGAGAAGAAAACACTCAGTTTTCATGGAGAAATGAACTGAGGGAGCAGCTTGTTGTATCTGGTCTGAGACCTTTTGTTTTACACCTTCTGGTATTGCTGCCAGTTAATGCAGAGCTGAGATCAGGCCTTGCCTGTTCTTTCTTTCTGTATCTGCTACTTAAAAACTGTTATTTCCTAAAGTGATGAGATTCCTGAGTTTGGAGGGATTTGTGGTTGTTTTGTTCTGTGTTGGTAGGTTGTGGGGCAAGGTTAGCTGTTGGTTGCCTTTTAGAGACCAAGGTTAACAGGAAATCCTTTAAAAATAAGTTATAAGGAGCCAAATTCTGATCTTGTTTATGCCTTGGCAACTCAACTTCAGCACAAGGGTAAAAAACAAGGCAGAGTTTGGTCACAGGTCTTAAACTTTCTTCTTTGCATGTGTTTGGAAATAGGCTTGAAACATGCCTCTGCTTAGCTGTAAATTACTGATCCCTGGGCCTTGGGAGAAACACACAGGGAACAAGATAATTCCTACAGGAAAAACCCAGCCCTGCACCCACCTCGCAGCCCCAGGGCTTCTCCTCCAGGGAAGAGAAAAAGTGTGAAAAGAAAATGGGAAATTTATTTTGTGCTGTTCCTCCTTAGATGGTCGCTGATGTGCCTGTGTGGGGAGAAGGGTCCATGGCCTTCCACAGGTACAAAGGCAGCTTCTCAGTTGTAGTTATTCTTCCACATATTATAGTGAATGAGGCTATTTTATGTTCAGTTTGTAGAGAGAACCAAAATCAAGCCTTTTAAGTAAAGCAGGAAGGTGCAGCATATTGAATTGAATCATGGGGTTTGGCCAAGAGTATATTTAGAAATCACACAGGTTTCCAGAAGGTGCTACGGGGCATATTTATGACAAATAGCCTTAGCTGGCAGCCAGCCAGCCATTTTCTTTTCTCTTCTCTCCAGAGGTTTTCATAAACAAGAACTCTGGAAGCTGGAAGCATTCCCACATCATTCTGATTTCTGCATTTCTTTTGAGTTCATTTTTGATGAGTTCAGGTGATGATATTCACTGGCAATTCATGGATACCTTTACAGGGTTGTCTGTGACTCTTTTGTGAACTAACACGTATGTATTGAAAAACTTACCTGAGCATTTTTTATATAGCTTTTGCACCTTGGAAGCCAACAAATGCCTGATTTGCTTGCACTGTACCAAGCTGGATCTAGCAAGGCGAAGGCCAGCACTCTTTGTTTTTTTCAAAATGTTCTGTCAGTAGCTCTGTAATCACCATTTCTATTCAGTGCTGCTTCATCCCAGATCAGCAAGCTTTAAAACACACAGGTTTTTGTTGACAGAATGTTAAAATGCAGTCCTCTGCACTTTCAGATGGATTTAAAGGCACACTTGATGCTGAAGTTAAAATATGGAAAGACCTAAGCCGCTATGTTTCCATTATTTTATCTGTTGAAAAGCATACTCTCTTTTTTCTTTTCTTTTTTTTTTTTTTTTTTTTTTTTTTTTTTTTTTTTTTATTTATAATGCTTTTTCCAAACCAGTTACACAACACGATTCTGGCCTCAAGCAGCTTTTGTAGCTACCAAACACCATTTCATAGAATCACAGAATCATAGAATAGTTTGGGTTGGAAGGGACCTTGAAGATCATCCAGTTCCAAACCCCTCCCATGGGCAGAGACACTTTCCATCAGACCAGGCTGCTCAGAGCTCCATCCAGCCAGGCCCTGAACACTTGGCCAGCGACTCTGTGTGTGCATGGGCCTCTGCTGGTGCCTGGGGAGGTGGTGAGGCCTTTGGGATAGCCTAAACCAGAGCACCCTGAGAGGCAGGAACTGCCCTACACGTGTCATTCCTCCATGCAGTGGCTGCACTGAGCTTTCAGCTTGGGATATCCCATGGGATAGATACTTCAGGCTGGAAGACATCACCTGGTCCAACCTCCAGCTCAACACAGCCAGATTTGGATGCTCAGTGCTTTCCCCGGCCAAGCTTCATCCCCCAAGGATGAAGATCCCACCATGTCTCTAGACACCTGCTTTAGTGCTGAACCACTCTCCATTTGAACACTTTTTTTTCCTTGTCAGAGTTTTTTTTAGCCAAAATTTTCCTTTACTGCTCATTGTGGTTGTTACCTCTGGTCTTTTGCTGTACACCTCTGTCAAGAGCCTCCAACATCCCTGGAATTCCTCCCCCTTTGGAACCTGGAGAAAGCGTTTAGGGCTCCCAGTGCGCTCAGCCCCCTCGTCTCCAGGCTGAACAAACCTCCTGTGTCTCTGTACAGCAGGCTGCTGAGAGGAAAGCTTGAATTGTTGACAGATACGTAAGTCTTGCCTCTTCTACTGAAATAGGCTGGTGCCAAGCTGGTGGCAAGGAAAGGATTGTGTGCCAGGCTATGTCTTGGCAAAGCTGACACATATTCACTTGCCGTGGTTACTGCTCAGCTGTGTGAGCACATTTGGTGTTGGCAAAAAGCCTTTCCTGAGCCATGTTAAAAGGTACAGCACACACAGAGCCCAAGGAATGGCAATGTCATTCTGTTGGGGGGAAAAAAATTATTCCAATACTTCAACAGGTCCCCTGATTTTGGTACATTTATCCAGCCCTGGCCCTCAGGAAATCTGGCACCATATACTGTTTTAACACAGCTGCCTTGGGCTTACAGGAAAGCTTTAGTTAGTACTCATGGATGTTCCTGTCTTTACTAAACAAAACTAAGCCTAGGCTAGGATTACTTTTGGTTGTTAGCCTGAAAAGCTATTTTCTATACAAAACAGCAAACTGCCCCTTTTTTTTTTTTTTTTCAGCATTGTGTGACACAGCTGCCCTTTAAATGTAAAACTGCACAGTCAGTGAGTTACTGAGCAGCAGGAGGGATAGGACTTCCCCCATCATTAAGTAGGTTTGATGCCCACACAGACCTAGAGAGCAGAGATCCCCCAAATCTCTCCTCTCCTGCAGGAGGAGGAATCTGCACCTCACTGTGTTTCAGCACTGAGAGGTTGTGGGTGTCAGTCTGGGTTGTTCTGAGTGGTTTAAAAGAGAAGCCCAGCAATATTCTGTATGATACAACCCTCTCCCACATGCCTTGCAAGCACCTCAGAACTGTCAGAGCTCCATCAGCCTGAACCAAGTGCTCCAGGAGCTGCCTTATTGAAGCACAAATGCTGCCCCAGAGCGGATGCTGGGCAGGGGACCACATCACCACACTGTCACCACAGCTTCATACATGGCCTTGGCTAAGGTGGGAATCATGGGTGAGGGAATCAATAAAGTCTTTTTTTTCCCAAGGCAAATCCACATCCATGTTCATGTTGTCAGTGCACTGCAGTGTTCCCATTTCCAAACTACTGCCCTTCTGGTGGAGGAGTCATATATTACCCAAGTTAGCAGTTCTGCCAAGAAATAACAAGGATGCCATGCATTTCAGCAGTGCTTTTCATCAGATCATTCCTACTTACTTTACAAACAGAATTAAGGAAGCCTCACAACATCCCTGTGAGGTAGGTGGAAATTCTTACACCCATTTTACAGGTGGAGAAAAAGGCACTGAGAGGTAAAGTGATTATCACAGCAAGTCAGAAGCAGAGCTGGAAATAAATCTAAGATTATTATCCTAGGTCCACTGCTCTAGACACTAGAGAACACCAACCCCCACATGCTATTGTAAGCTAAGAGACTACCTTGCTCTTCTACTTTCACCTCCTTTGGTGATTTTGACACTTGCATCTTATGCTCCTTGCAGAGAGCCATGTGATCAGTTAGGAGTTTATTTGCACAGGGAGCTAAGGGGGCAAACACACATTTTTAAATGATCCAGGCATGGCTCTAATTGTCCAGTGATTTCCCCCTTCCCAAGGAAATAATATTCCTCATTCATCATATATATCTCTGTGTTTTGCTAAGTTATTTTTTGGGTAGAATCATACACTGAATCCACAGCTCTGAGGCTGTTATGCAACTTCACTAGGAATTTCTTGAATAAACAATTACGTTTGTTTCTTTGAGAGGGAATAAAGCACATTTATGTGCTATCACATCCAGAAATAGCAATAATCCTTTGCTCATCTGTAGGGCTTTCCATCCAAGGACCTCCCTTTCCATAACTAGCACAACATGTCAGGCCTCACATCATGATTGTAAGGTAGGAAGTGATTCCCAATTGCACAAGAAGGAAGAATGACTTGCTGACAGTCCCACAGAGATTTCCTTGCAGAGATGAAGCTGAGTGCCAGAAGACCGGACTGTTCCCTGCCCCCTTTGCAGAGCAGCTCTGTCCTGATGCCATGGCCTGTGCTTGGTGGCTACAGATTCACTGCCAGCCAGGCAGAGTACTTGAAAACTGGCTTTAAAAATAAAAAATAAAAACTCAACAAGCAGTTGAGTGGATGCAGGAGGGAAATGCCAGCTTCTCCTTGTGCTGTTGGGACCCAGAGGAAGAAAGGAGCTTTCCTGTGGCAGCTGTGAGAGAAGCACAGTGTCCGTGGAGTGCACTGCACATGGTGCATTTTACTGAGGCTCTCCAGTGGAAAAGGACAGAATTAACATGTGGTGATTAAAGACTGCCCTGCCTCACAGCCACATTATGAAGCATGTACTCCTGGTGAAGAAGCACTCATCTTTAAGTAGTCCTGTAGTCTAATGAATGTATGAGTGTCAGAGATCAGGAGTGGAATTGTCAAGTAATTAAAAGTCAGCATGAGTGGGTGTGATTCAACCAGTCCAGTACCTTGGTATCTGGAAGGGTCAGATGCTCTGATGCAGGTACCTCATATAAACTGTAACAAGGTTGTGGGTTTTACCTGCAGGAAAGTATGTTTCCAACCCCCTTCAACAAGTGGGCTCAATGATCTCTAATCAACAATGATTTAGAATCATTCAAACTCTTGTCTCTTTCTATGGAGAAAATAAAATAGATCCCATCTAGTGTAAGTGTGGTGATTGTGTTTTTCATCTAAATCTTAGCCCTTTCTTTAGTTCTAGTGTCTTGAACTGGGCACAGTGGACTCTTCCTGCTGAAAAACATTCTCTTCCCTCAGTTGTGATAACTGTTCTGTTCTCCTGTTTCTGTATTAAGAGAGTGGCTAAATGGTAGGCTCCAGGCTCTCTCTCTGCATGTGTTACTTTGTCATATTCCTTCCCAAAACTGAGGAGGGACCTTCCAGTCTTCCTTCACAAGGAAGGACACCCAACAGCCTTTGTCTAAGGAAAAAAAGGTTTTGACCGCAGGCTGCAAACCTTGGGAAAATGTCCAGGCCCAAGAGGAGCAAAAGGATAAAAGGAAAAAAAATTTAAAAAAAAAAAAAAAAAAAAAAAAAAAAAAAAAGGAAAAAACTAAAACAATACGTGGCACCTCTGTGGCAGCTGAAGAATCCCAATGCACCCTACAAACTTTCTACATATGTACAGCTTATTGTCACTCGGCAGTGAAGACCAGCCACCTTCACGGCCGCATGTCCAGGCAGGGAACTCCACCAAAGGAGTGGGATCAGGAGCAACAGGACTGACTGTTGTGGGGCTGGGACAGGGCCCAAGCCTACCCAGGGCTCTCACAGACACCCATCTGCCTTTCCTGGGCTTTGAGTCAGACCTGCTACAATGGGAGGCTGCAGGGGGTCTTTTCTAGCTAATGGCAGGACGAGTTTGATGCATTGTGCCAAAGACCTTTTTTCCCTGACCTGGATTAGAGCCTGCCCTGGGAACAATGGGATGGGTTGCAACCCAGCAGAAAGAATTTGCTGAGATGGCAGGCTCTGAGGTTTGCATAGCAGAGCAGAACAGAGTGCATACCTGCACTTTTTTGGCATGGGGCTCAGTTTTGGGGGGACATAGCTGTTAACCTGAAGCTTTTGAACACATTGCTTCACTGTCCCAGCCAAGAGTTGCTGCTGTAGTCCTAAAATTAGAAATTATATTGGACATCTAAACGTTTGCAAGTACATAATTTTCTGCCTTCTGTAAAAAAAGATTTTTCTGAGTCTCTGAGAGTTCTGTACAGACCTGTTGGCACAAAAGGTCTAAGTCATCTTTTGAAAGGCATTGTCTTACTTGGTCGAGACTTTGGCATTTAATGGAGAAGCAGCCCACTGAATGGCTCCTGTCTGTCAAATTAAAAACAAAGGCTGTCAAAAGACTTTTACCCTATCAGTCTTTTCAAACTTGACTAACCAGTTTTGTATTTAGAAGTTTTAAAAGTCTTGTAATTACCCAGACCCCTGGTTTAGGTTCACAGGTGCCTTCAGGACTCTGTACCTGAGATTTGCTGAGTGCCTGGGAGGCTGGAAGCTCCAGGAACTGAACACTTGTCAGGATCATACCGTGAAGGCTTGTATTTGGTTTCATGCTCTGGGGGCTATAGCTGTCCCCTCCTTTCTCAGAAGATTTTTCCCTCTTGCTTGGATAAATCTAGTTTCAAATCTTTAAGTCACAAGGCTACAAGTAAAAAATATCACTTGAATTTATTCTTTCCAGTATTCTGAACTAGTCTCAGGGCTGGACGGCCCTCTTGGGAACAAATAATCCATCTCTGGGCATCTGCTAACTCCTAGTAGAGAGCTACTGTTAACCTTGCCCACTGTCAATGTCGCTTGAAGAGCAGAAATATTTTTGACCAGGAAAAATATATTTACCTAACTGAGATATGCATTCACAGAGAAATTTGGAACATTTTTGCCTTTATTTTCTGAATAAAGAAGGGAAGTATTTGGCTTGGTATTTTAGTGTGTTGATGCTAAGCACAGAATTCACTTTGTGAATTAATAACTGCAATTCCATGCCAACAGCAAAGGGGAGCTCTGCTCAGTGAGCCATAGGAGGAAACAGAAAGAGAAAGACTAGGTACAGTTGTTGATCAGTCTTTCCCCTCACTGGCTGAAAGACAGGTCTGCCCCACATTCCTAGGGAAATGTGGAACACAAGGCTTTCAGTAAGTATGATCACAGTGGCGACATTTGGGTATCACTGCCGTGTTAGGCTTTAAAATACATCAGTTATGTGTACAGTGTAGATATTACTGTAAGGAGTGAGCTGGCATGTGGAAACAGGGAAATACAGGGACATATGGGGCAAATAAGGCACTGTTACCATGGTAGTACCTTTCCAGTTGAAAATCTTAAAAGGAAATAATATTCAAGTGGCCATTTTAGCACTTTGCTTAAAAATATCTTTTGATTCTTTCTCTATCTCTCCTTTTCTCTTCAACTTTTTCCTTTTCATGTGCTCCCCACATCCTGCACCTTCATACAGTCAAATCATCTGACCTGGCCCGGCTGCTGGCTTTACTTAGCCTGCTCAGGGGTCTCATATCAGCAGCAAGTTCAGCAGGTGCTGAAGGCCCTTCCACTTCATCTCTCACCACCTCCTCTTCTGCTTTCTTCACCCCTGGCTCTTCCTGAGGCCTTGGCTGCTCCTCCTCTCTTTCCTCCTCCTCTGCTCGTACCTTCTCGTCTTCTGGTTGCTTCGCTTGCGCATATGATGGTAACCTCTCATCGAACGCCCTGGAGAGATCTTCCAGTGGTCCCATCCCAATCTTCTCCTCAAACTCATTGTAGGCTGATGGAAGGGGACTGGGCTCAACCCCTACTTCCGTGAGAGGGAAATAGTGGGACACCGGCTTCTCTTCTTCCAGCAGCTTGTAGCCTTTGGCCTTTGGGATGGAGGGGACTGCGATGGCATGGAGGGGCTTCTCTGGGACCTCTCCAAGCTGCTCCTCTGCTGGCCTCCTCAGAGCCCTCCGGATTCTTTTCAAGATCAAATGACTGATCTCCACCAGGTTGAGGAAGAGGGACACGGAAGCCACCACCAGCATGAACATAATGAAGATGGTCTTCTCCGTGGGCCTGGAGACAAAACAGTCCACAAGATTGGGACAGGGCCACCGCCCGCAGCGGTAAAGGGGCAGAATTCGGAAGCCATACAGGAAGTACTGACCTACTATGAATCCCACCTCAAAGAGGGTTTTGAAAATGATGTGGAAGATGTACGTTCTCAGGAGAGTACCTTCCAGGCGAAACTTCTTGGTTCCATCAGGGTTGTTGCCTTTGTTTTGGTTTGGAGCCAGGGGCAGCTTCTCTTCATCCACCTCAGCTTGCTGGCGCCTCTCAGCTTCCTCCCTCTCTTTCCTCTTCTCCTCCATGCGGACGTGGTGCACAGCATGTCCGAAGTACATGAGTGAAGGGGTGGATACAAAAATGATCTGCAGGACCCAGAGCCGGATGTGGGAGATGGGGAAGGCCTCATCGTAGCAGACGTTCTCACAACCAGGTTGCTGGGTGTTGCACACAAAGTCTGACTGCTCGTCTCCCCACACGAGCTCGGCAGCCGTGCCCAGGATCAGGATGCGGAAAATGAAGAGTACTGTGAGCCAAACTCTCCCGATGACAGTGGATTGCTCGTTCACCTGCTCTAAAATATTCCCCAAGAAACTCCAGTCACCCATTTCTTACGGTCTAAGGGAAGAAAAAACAAAGAGAAAGACCACAAATTATGCTAAATTTTAAAGATTTCAGGTTTTCCCGCTGATGTCTTTTGTTGCTTTGAGAACAGAAAGGCAGGCGTTTGCTTGCTTGCTGATTTGCCTGTTCACAATGATTTATTAGCAGAAGAAGGGCTGGGAAACCAGAGCAAGCTGCCTGCTAAATTCTTCCTTCCATGGCTCTAAATGGGCAATTACTTTTCAGCCAGGGAGTATATTTATCTCCTTTTGCAGGTGAGAGTCTTCTGTGGCGCCTTGTAGGCTCAGTTCTGTGAATCTGCTTAGATTTTGTACACGTACAAACACTCACCAGCAATACAGTGGAACAGATTTATCAGCAGGCAGCTGCAGTGGTTAGAAGGGAGGGTGAAGCTTTCAAATACTTCTGCACCAGAACCCCTCTCAGGTCAAACAGATCTCAAATCTGCACTCATCTTGCACCTAAACAAACATGAATTCTCTCTAGGTTGCAAATGTCAATCCTACTTTAACAATCACTGTTGGCTAAGAACAGCAATTACAACGCCATTACTGTGGTAGTAATGCTGTATAAGCTTAACAACTGCTATATAGATTAGTTTTGCTATATAGAATATGTTATATGCAATATAATTATTTGTGGCTATTGGGACTATTCTTTGCACCTCCTTCTAAGGTTGATTGCCACGCTGACAGTGGAACCAACCTGGGGAAAACACCACAGTCTCTAACTGGGACCTAAAATGCTATTTGCTGTCTCTAAAATGTCAGTGCCACTATCTCATGCTAACACAGAGCTGGAAGCCAGCTGCAGATACACTATTGGAAAGCTAAGGCAGTCATCCATTTTTGAGTAATGCAAGTCAAATATTACATCTGTCATTACTTTTGCATTATAGGAAATTATTCCTAGGTCAGGGCTTCATTCTGCATATCCTGAACTTCCCACTATATAATTTCAGGCAAGGGAAGATTTATGAATGAGGAAAATAGAGATGAAAGTTGTTTTGTATGGGTTGATTTAACACATCACAGCAGTCTGAGGTCTCTGAGGAATGCGGAATATTACAGTGGCCCAGAAAGACCAACTTGTAGAGCATGACAAGTGAAACAGGGAACATTATTCATAAAATAGCTGTTCACAGGGATCTAGAATTCCGTCTCTTAGATACTACCTCCATCTATAGTTCCCTAAATGCAGACACATACACAAGCACTCGGAAAAGGAAGGTACAGTAAACAGCATGAAAATCTGAGTATCTAAACTTTCCTCCTCCTTCAGATACCACTGGGATATATTTGTAATGCCATATGTTATGACACACCAACGCACACCAGTCTGTTTCAACTACTCTGTGTACGTAGTCACACATAGACAAACACGGAAAATATTGAGAATTCTATGGCTCAGGGGAATTTCACAAATTTTCAATCAGAAAAAAAAAAAAAACCCACAAAAAAAAGCCCCACAAACTTATGATGGCATTTTGCTAAAGCAAGATGGACTCATATTCCTTGTCTTCAAACCTCACAATATTTTTACCCCAGACAGCCATGTTAGAAAATGAAGAACAGAACACAGTTCCTCAGCTTGCACAAACACCTCGAATACATAAGTGGCAAACATATAATTTAATCACCAAGGAAAATTGCTACTTTCTCAGTCATTAAAGTCGTGTAAAGAAGTGTGTTAATGTCAGCGCTTACATTAACAAGTCTAGCAGAAGATTATGCTGTTTACATACATTATCTAAACTGATTTAAACATCCTCTTTCTGCAAATTCACAGAGCAAAGTACACCCCCCAGTTACCAATCACGTGCAACTCTGTAAAAAACATGACTACACACAGTACAAGCTTCATTGTCCCCCAGGCACCTCGGTTACCTCCATCCCCTTCTCCCCCTGTGAGTCACACTGATATCTACGCTATCATTCGAGCATTTCCCCTGCAGCCCTCAAGAACAACATTCTAGGTGTGATAGACCTCATCACACGGAAAGCTCTCTGTACAAGAGAAGAGAAAATGTTTCCTGTCTAACTCCATCGCACGTCTTGCTCGCAGCTTGCTACGTTTGGCTAAGCCCTCCCTGAGATCACTTCCAGCTGGCCACGTTCTTCACAGCTCTGCCATGCCCATCCCCTCTGTTTTCTGCAAGTGGAGCGGTTCGAGGTTGCTCGGTCGGTTCAACTGAGAGCAATGATATTGGGTGGAGGGATGAGGAGCTGCACAACCAGTCAGAATGCCTGGGGTTCCACCTGCAAGCAGTCAGCCCCTCCAGCCTCAAAAAAAAAGAGGTATTTAGGTAGCCACCTTTCCCCTGAAATCGCCTGCCACGAGGAAAGAGCAGGACTCTGCCTAAGCCCGCTCAGAGCCAAGAGATTGGTGTTGTGGGCTCTCCTGGGCTGGCCGCAGACCCCCACCCTGCGCTCCCAGACGTCGCAACCTGCGCACGCTACCGGCGCGAGGGGCTCGACAGGTTAAGGATGGGGAGCAAGCAACTTGCCGCTGTCAGAGGCTCCACCGAAGAAATGTGTCCCCCTCCTCTCTTGGCACTCTGCAGGGAAGAGTGAACTTTTGTCTCTCTTCTTCCCTACCCTAAAAGCCCCAATCTTGTCGCACGACTGAGCAGATATGACTGAATTGGCTCTGATGGTGGGTTTTAGTTGCCCTGCAATATTTAAGCTCCAAGCCAGACGGCTTTATGAAGTGAGTGACAGTCAGTGACGTGGGGAACAATAGGGAGAAAAAAATAGAGAGAGAGGCAGAGACACAGAGGGGAGAGTCCACTGAACATGAAAAAGCAGAGGGGGGAGAGGAACAGGCAGCAGGCAGTGAAAACCTAATACATGCATAAATGGGAGTTTGCTCAGTTAAGCAGGGACCAAAGCATCTCTGCAGTTCCACTGTGGTTCAGCACAGCTCTGTGTGTGCCCACACTCGCTGGTCTTTAGGTGCTGTGGTGTGGCAGATGAAAAGGGAATACCAACATCTCTGATGGTGGCAGCATTGATTGAATGAATTTGTTACCCTACGCCCAACTCTGACAGACAAGTTTCATTACTGATTTTCAGGCAGGTACTGAAGTACTGGGTTTATATTTGGCATTATCGGATACTTTGGTCTGCTCTTTAACATCTTTTACCTGGAAAAAGCAGCAGAATGGGAAAACAAGATTATCAGTCAATATTAATCAAGGCTGAGAAAGATCAATTTTCACAGCCTCACCTCTCAGTGTCCCAGCTCTGCTTATTTTTTCTTCCAAATGCATCTTGCATGTGCACATGCATCAAGAATGTCTAAACCAAACTGTTTTGTTAAGGAGCACAGCTGAATTCCAGCAGCCCAGCACACAGGAATGTTACCGCAAGCACACTTGCCTGCCACCAGCCACCTGTAAAAATGCTGGAGAGGTCAGAGAAGAGAGGAACCACAGGCTCAGTAATGCATCCACAAGTACAACTAAATGCCCTGAGAGTTTTAATTACAAGTCAAAGGCTATAACCTTACTCTGAGGTATGGTTTTTGTAGTCTCTCTGGAGGCATTGCTCAGAATGTTCTCTTGGTGCTCAGCTCTGAAGAAAAAGAGGATTACTGGAAGCAAGATTTGCTAAGCAGTGATACAGATGCCAGGCTCATAAAGTGATGAAGCAGCAAGTACCTCTCCTCTCTCTTTATGCAAACTCAGCACTGAATTTAATTTCCCAGAATGGCACTGGGAGACACTCTGTCTCCAGAAATGCTATCATTTGAATGAGATATTAAAACACGAGGGCCACAAAATTTTGTACCTTCAAACCAACAGTTTCAGGCCACTCTTCTGTGTTTCTGGGCATTTGTGTCCATGTAAGTTCAAGCTTCATCTCAGGAGTTGTCTTCCCAAACAGCTTTTCAGCTGATTTGCGGAGCCCCAAGGTCCAAAGCACAACTGGAGGCAGAGATGATGTTTTTCAAACTGGATTTCAAAAAAGCTAAAGTGTGAGAGATGAAAAATAATAATATTTTGCAAGAGGAACCAGTCTGGAGACACAAAAGAAAAATCGCCCTCAATGCACATAGTTGGACTGAAAGTTGTATTAAGAATCCTTAAGAAATCACTCTCCTAAATAGGGAAGCAGTAGCAGAACATTTTTTAGCCCAATGCCACATAAAGCATGGGAACAGACTTCCTGGAGAGAGGACACAAAATGGAGAATTCATAAGTCCCAAGAACACGACATGAATAAGAAAAGGCATGGTTGGATAAATGAGAGGAACAAGGAGAGTAAGGAGGAGGAAAGATCACCTTTGTGGTTTTGTTTTGCTTTGCTATATACTACTGAGATAAACAAGTATCAATGCATGAGTGAGTGGTCATCACTGCCACCCTCAACCCCTTTCTGGGAAGCAGTAAGAGAGGGAGGAACAGTACCACCAGCATCCACCACTTTCAGAGAGTATCTGCAGGCTGGTGCATCACAGAGGGCAGTTGGTTCAGATGTTAAACTGCCCATTCTTTTTCAAACCAAAACTGTCTTTTTGGAAAACTCAGCTCTAGCTGAATGTGCACATCCCTTTCTAGGCCTTTTCTCTCTAATATAATGAGCCAAACCCCAAATCTGGTATGCAACTACATGGCTGTAGTCCATCTCTAAATTACATCCAGCTACTGTCAGAGACCTTTCCCATTAACCTTCTATCTGCCTTTTGCTAATGCTATCCAAATATCAAACATTGTCTGACAAGTTGCAGAACAGCTTGCAATATGCAACTGATGCAGAAATTACATTGAAGTCTGTGGTTATTGGGTGTGTGTTACCTTCATCCAAATGATCAGGGCTGACTTTCTTTGGTATCACAGAGTGCAGAGCCTTTAGCGTGGGGTGTGCCCAGTTTGCAGGACATTTCTGGTTTATGGAAAACCGGAGTCCCTTCATCTGGAGGCTTTTTATGCAAGCATCACTGAGCTCTGGGCCAGGTTCTCCAACTCACTAGGGCCTCCTCCCTCTGAAGAG